TGCCTTGACGTCACTGGCAACATCAACATTTATATGAGCCGGATTTCCACACCGGGGAAATACATAAAGCAAATTTACCTGTGAACGCTTATATATATATATGAAGAGTTCAGATGCAAAAGCCTCTAAATGCCATTTGAAATTTTCTTCTTTGATGATGATTTTTATCAAACGTGTATATTTAAGTTCAGTAATTTCACTTAAATAACAATTAATAGGTAATTATCATTGCAATTTAAGTGAAATCACTGAACTTAAATATTTAAGCTTGATAAAAATGATCATTAAAGAAGAAAATTTCAAATGGCATTTAGAGGCTTTTGCATCTGAACTCTTCATATATATATATATATATATATATATATATATATATATATATACAATATAGCTCTAAATCCATGATCACTCATATCAGTGTAATATAAATCATCATGTCGTCCAGCTCTTAAACTTTAAGTTCAGTAATTTCACTTAAATAACAATTAATAGGTAATTATCATTGCAATTTAAGTGAAATCACTGAACTTAAATATATAAGCTTGATAAAAATCATCATTAAAGAAGAAAATTTCAAATGGCATTTAGAGGCTTTTGCATCTGAACTCTTCATATATATATATATATATATATATATATATATACAATATAGCTCTAAATCCATGATCACTCATATCAGTGTAATATAAATCATCATGTCGTCCAGCTCTTAAACTTGTGTAGTTTTATGTTTTGTTTATTTAAAAACATCCACTGATGCAGAATATAAGACGGTAAATATTTAATTGAGTTCAATGCAGTATATAACAATATATAGGGTATGATTTGACCCCTAAATTCAGCATATTCATTGCTAGTTCCAGCGTTAACAAATAAGTTGTGATTTTAACCCTTATGCTGCATTAGGGACATTTTTGGTCTTTTGCAGTTTAATTTCTTTGACCATTTTGGCTGTTTTAATGCAAATGGTATGAAATTTGGCAAAATTGTGACTTTTTGGATACATGTAAAAAATGTGATCCCATTTTGCAAAATATGTATAACACACACTGTGTAGATCAAATAGTAACACTCAGCACCATAAAGACCAAAAATGGCCCATTGAAACCCATTAAAACGTTGTTTAAATCTGAGGCTGTCAGTAATACATGAAACATGATTTTTGCACAAACATCCTTTCATTTTGAAGCAAAAGCATTATATTTGCATTATATAGTGTATTCCACCAGATGACGTCACTACATATTTATTCCCTATGGGTGGAAATGCACCTTATTTTAGGCAATAGGCAATGTTTAATAGGTGGCCATTTTTGGTCTCTAACGCGCTAAGTGGGATTTTTTGTAAAGTGGGACTGTGATGATCCAAATCTAAAGTTTTCTCTTTGCATTTAGTTTATTGAAAATAATTGAATTTTTGTGTTTTTTCCTCTTATACAAATCGATGGTTTCGCAAACAAAACTGGTAATTAAAGGGTTAAAATCCTGAAATTGAATACATTTTTGGTAGTTATGATGAGGACTGATGCTGGTTAAAAGATTTAACTTGGTAAAAGTGGAAAATAATAATAATATATAATATTTTAGGCAATGTTTAATATGTGGCCATTTTTGGTCCTTAATGCACTCAACGGTGTTAAAAATCTAATGCAGCACAAGGGTTAAAAGTGTATTAGTGAATATAGAAGTAAACATTTACTGTAGAATTAAACCTTATCGTAAAGTCTTACCGATTCATTTAAATGTTAATACATAGTAGTTAAAGACACTTAATATAAAGTTGGACCGAAATATTTATATTCTACATTAAATGTAAAGGAGACTGCTTTAATGCAACATACTTTTGCTGCAAAACAGTGTCATATGATACCAAACACTTACTGATTTATTGTTATCATTCAAGTGATTATATTCTATTGTATATTAAATTACACAGTGTAGAGTACATCATAGGAAATAAAAGATCAATGAATATAAAAGGTTCAACACTGAAAGTGCTGCTGGGATTGAGGCTGTTTGGCCAGTTTTGCTGAACAGCTGTTTCACATTATGAGCCGGTAATAAGCAAAGGCTCGGACAGTACAGCGTTAGAAATGTCACTGAACGTGAAGATGTCGTCAGGGAGCTGATGTATGCGCCCGTCTTTAACGAGGGTTAGAATATAATATCATGCATTAAACATGATCTGTTTAGTTCTGAAACATTTTCGTGTGTTTACATTGGGCGGGTTGAGCGATGGCGAATCGTTCATCTGGAAGTAAACAGCCATCGATCGGAGCTCTGCTTCGAGATGATTAAACGGGTTCTTGTTTGCATAGTTTGAGGGATTGGATCGGCATCACAGCCGGACTGAAAACACCACAATCACACGAGAAGGAAGAGGAAGGACATTAAAGACCACGTGCCGCCGTATTCTCTCCGACTGCTTTCAAAATGCCAGATTACGCCATACAAGTATTGGGTTACAACTCACTGGAATATCCAACGACACACGACCTTCGCGGACTTCGAAGGATGTAGTCTCTGAATTGTGACGCAGCTATTATATGTATTATCTCTTGCTGTGTGTCCATTAAAGGGTTAGTTCACCCAAAAATAAAAATTCTGTCAGTATTTCCTCACCCTCATGTTGTTCCAACCCCGTAAGACCTTCGTTCATCTTCGTAACACAAATTAAGATATTTAAGATATTAAGATCGCTCCTGCATACAGTCCATAGGCTATTTGAGGGAATGACTCTTGCTGTCCCCGAAAAGTCATTAAAGACATCGTTAAAATAGTCCAAGTGACTACAGGGGCTCAATCTTAACTTTATCAAACGACGAGAACACTTTTGTGCGCAAAAAACAACAAAAATAACGACTTTATTTCAACTATTGGTTTATTTCTCCCTCTGCGCGAGTCAGGTTACTAGTTTAATAGCGTAAGCTTCTGTTATTGTACGTCACACGCATCACACACATGACCAGCGTCGGCCAATAGTGAGCCTACGTGTGACGTAGCTCTACGCAATCACACTACGTTAACTGACTACAGGCTCATGGAGAAGGAAGTGAATAGTTGAAATAAAGTCGTTATTTTTGTTTGTTTTTGCGCACAAAAAGTGTTCTCGTCGCTTGATAACGTTAAGATTGAGCCACTCTAGTCACTTGGACTATTTTAACGATGTCTTTAATGACTTTTCGGGGACAGCAAGAGTCATTCCCTCAAGAAGCCTATGGACTGTATGCAGGAGCGATCTTAATATCTTAAATATCTTAATTTGTGTTGTGAAGATGAACGAAGGTCTTACGGGGTTGGAACAACATGAGGGTGAGTAAATACTGACAGAATTTTCATTTTTGGGTGAACTAACCCTTTAAGTTCAACATCGAAACAGCATGCCCCTCATTCTGTGAGATTATTTAATGTGAGCGCAAAAACATTTAAAGTTGACATGAAAATAAAGTTGTGACGGTCTTTTTCGTCGAATAAGGAATGAGAACAAATGTGGGCGGGGCTTGATTGTGTCTGTGAGGAATTGATTGGATGGTGGTTTGCTATTGGCCGATGTCATGTGAGTGACAGGTTATAGCCCCGCCCTCATCATCAGAGAATGCTGATTCTGACTCAAAATTATTAAAACAATATTGGTGCGCATCGATACATCATTTAGAATAAACACTGTGATGTTACTTTAATAAAGTGTTGACAACATAATGACCGAAAGATCATGTTGGGTGTTGGAGAATAGCGTCAGGAGTTTCTCTCACCGTCTGCTTCCTGTCTCAGGTTTCTGACGTACTGCCCTGCGAAGCGGATCAGCGCTGACGAGGCGCTCAAACACGAGTACCTGCGCGAGACGCCGCTCCCCATCGAACCCTCCATGTTCCCCACCTGGCCGGCCAAGAGCGAGCAGCAGCGCGTGAAGAGAGGGACCAGCCCGCGCGCGCCCGAGGGAGGACAGTTCAGCCAGATGGTGCTCGTCCTCCTTAAAGTTCCCCTCTATCACTCTATCCCTTAAAGGTGCAGTGTGTACGTTTTAGCGCATCTAGTGGCGAGGTTGTGAATTGCACCCAACAGAAGTTACGGCGGCCGACAGAGTTAAACAATGAGGTTTCTTTTACGAAGATAAATGAAGAAATTATATTCACCTAATTATTCAGTAAAACAATGTTATTGTGAATATTATATTCACTTGTTCATCATTTTTTAGTGTTTTACTCGCTGACTTTAGCAGCTTCTGATCATGAAGAACAACATAGTGACGAAACATGTGTGTCCGCTAAAGGGCCACCGTAGAAACATGTGGGTGTAAGCGGACCCGCGGTGTGTGTAGAGAGCTAATAAACACACAACGCTTCATTATGTAAGGTGTTTATACACCACTGAACACACAGTTATGTTTATGATACTGCGCTTCTGTCCACAGATCCTCCTGAATATTACACACTGCACCTTTAAAACACATCTTTGGAATGTTTTTTCATGTGTTCATGCCTTAAAATATCTTAAATGTAACTCGACACCCTTGCATCATTTAGTATGCGAGACTGTATGAATATGCAAATGAGCCCCACCTCCACTCACTCACTCACTCAGAGATCCACTGGTTGTGTTTTAGACTGTCTTTGGTTCACTGCAGTTTTGAGGAGGAAATACTCACTTTTCCATCTTCGAAACACAAATGAAGATTTTCGAATGAAATCGGAGAGATTTGTATCAGTTACGCAACTATCACTGATGCGTCAAAACGTTTATAAAGGGATTGTAAAACTCATCTATATGAACTGAGCCAAAGACACTCAATCTCTTTATACGATGAGCAGATGTAATTTAGGCTTTTATTCACACATGAATGGAATTTGAAGTAGAGCCCGACCGATAAAGTATTTTGAAGGCCGTAACCGATACAAATATTTTTGGGTTTTAAAATCCGATATATCGGCCGATAATTCATTAATTTATATTTTTTTTAAACTGGACATGATAGTCACAAATTTTGTCATGCTTATTTGAGTTTAGAGAACTGATGGGGATGTTCTTTTAATTGTTTTTCAAGCAATATATGTATCGTGACCAACTCAACGGGTGTTGCCAAAAGGGACGGTGTAGAGCGCCCTCTAGTGGACAAACTATACAACTCCAACACTCATGACATGGTTCAAGCGTGTTTCCTCTGTTTTTAATTTTATTTTTGAAATGTTCATTTATCAGCCATTATAACTGCCGATACCGATAGTTTGGAAAATGCCTAATATCGGCCGATAATATCGGCCTGGCTCTAATTTTAAGCATACTTTAGTAAAAGCCTAAAGACTTTGACTGGTGTTTTGACAATTCAAAAACGAATACGAAAAAGCGCATACGTAAATTTCAGACTCGGTGTGCAGTGGCCTTAAATTGCATCTTGTCATCATATAAAGCGATCGAGTCTCTTTAGGAAATCTGGCCTAAACGGTTCAGTTCTCTTTATAAACGTGTTTAAGCATCAAACTGAGAGTGGTAGTTGCGTAACTGTCAATGGAGGGACAGAAATCAGATATTTCATTAAAATATCTTCAGATCTGGAACGACATGAGCGAGAGTTATTAGAGACACAGTTTGCATATTTTTGGTGAACTAACCCTTTTAGTAAGAGTCTGTTCACAAACCATGTTTCTGCTGTAATGTTGTTTTTTGTCTTTAGTTCAGCAGGATATTCACTGACGTCAGTTCATGTTTTGGGTGAACTCGCCCTTTAAACCTGTTTTGAATCACAGCTCCGTCTCTGTTGACCAAGACCATACTCTCTTCATGTCGTGGTCTGTTTGTTCCTGTAATTCCTGGTTATTGTTACTGATTCTCCTCTTCTTCAGGGTGATGATGACCTCAAAGACACGGGTTTCCACTTGACCAGCGCGAACCAGGGCGCGTCCAAAGCCGGTCCGGGGTTCAGCCTGAAGTTCTGAGCGGATCTGCGTCTGTGTGCTCGCTGGGTTCCTCTGAACGCGTCTGTCCTGACGCTGAGACTCTCTGAGAGCGGTTCACTGAACTCACACACACACACACTCTGGGGAAGCGTCGAGGACCTCCGTGAAGCTGGACTGCTCCACATTCCTCATGCTCCTCTGAAATATAGTGTGTCTTCTTTTGTCCAGCGTTCTCGGACCTCTTATTTTTCTCTCCATCTGCGTTGGTAGTCGAGGAGATCAAAGACTCTTTTAGTGAAATATCAATATAAAATAAAACTGTTTTGAAAACTTTAATACTATGGTCTTGTTGAATGCTAAATTCTGATTGGCTGGACGGTGTGCGTTCACATCGTTAAAACTAAGTTCCTAAACGCTCCTGTCCTGGAGACCCCGGCCGGTTCTGTGTGTGAGCCGCTTAAAGGATTAGTTCACTTTTGAAAAAAACTTTTGCTGATAATTTACTCACCCCCATGTCATCCAAGATGTCCATGTCTTTCTTTCTTCAGTCGAAAAGAAATTAAGGTTTTTGATGAAAACATTCCAGGATTTTTCTCCATATAATGGACTTCAATGGGAACCGGATGGTTCAAGTATCAAACGACAGTTAATAACAGTTTCAGATGCAGCTTCAAATGTCTTTAAACGACACCAGGCGATGAATAAGGGTCTTATCATGCGAAACGATCCGTTATTTCAAAGCTTATTACCAAAATGTAACTTTTCTAACGACAAATGCTAGCCTTGCTCTATTCTGTGAGGCGCATTTGCAACGTCACGTAATACGTAATTACGTTCAAAAGGTCACGGGCGACGTAGCCGGAAGTACAGAGTCAGTGTTTACAAGTTGAACGCATAGGTTGAACGTGAAAACTAACTCAAACACCGTTTACAAAAAAAGGAATTAAAAGGAAAAACAACGATGTCGGACTATTTTGATTCTGTACTTCCGGCTACGTCGCCCGTGACCTTTTGAACGTAATTACGTATTACGTAACATAATGAGGGTCCATAAATGCAAAACGAAGCATTGAGAACTGTGTAAGTGTACAGAGCGTTTAATAAGAAGATACTTTATGAAGACAGTTCACTTCATGTATACAGGCAGGAGCCATCTTAGAAAATAGTCTCGATAAGTCAAACCACGAACGTCGTGCTGAGTGATCTGAACTCTATGAAGTTCAACAAACTTCTGAACTGTATGAACGGCGTTCGGGGATCGACTTATTGACTATTTAACTATTTCCTAAGATGGCTCCTGCCTGTATACATGAAGTGAACCGTCTTTATAAAGTATCTTCTTATTAAACGGTCTGTACACTTACACAGTTCTCAATGCTTCGTTTTGCATGTATGGAGCCTCATTATGTTACTGTGTTAGTGTGGGGCTATTTTGAGCCTTATTAGTGGTATAAACTAGCGGCTTCTTTTACTTAGTCAATGCCCCCATTACTAGCATTATACGCTAAAAAGTTTTTAGAGATAAAACTCTTTACATTCGATTATCATGAAAACAAATCTCAGAGAACGATTGACTGTGTACCGATGTTTTTAAACGCTTTAAACGCTTCAAATTGATAGGTGTTGATGGCGCAGTGGATACGACACATGCCTTTGGTGTGAGAGACCCGGGTTCGAATCCACTGTGAGACACCAATGTGTCCCTAAACAAGACACTTAACCCCTAGTTGACCCAGAGGCGTGCGACCTCTGACCTATATAGCAATTGGAAGTCGCTTTGGATAAAAACGTCAGATAAATGAAAAAAGGGAACATAGAATAAATTGTTTTATTTGGCAAAATAAGAAATGTATTTACAACACGTAAGAACCCTGATATCAAAACGTTTAGCAATGTGAATGGACTGATATGAGTGTGTGCGTGACCATGGCCTGTGGGGAACAACAGGGTCAGAGGTCGTGGGTCCGAGCTCATGTTCTGGCTATAATCTGTGTCTTTGACCAATTAAAATCTCCTGATAATTTACTTTCCCGCACGTCATCAAGATGTTCATGTGTTTCTTTCTTCAGTGGGAAAGAAATGAAGGTTTTTGAGGAACACACTCCAGGATGTTTCTCCATATAGTGTCTTCAATGGGGTCCAACGGGTCGAAGGTCAGATGTGAGTTTCAGTGACGCTTCAAAGTCTCGACACGATCATTAGTGGTTATAAAGTATATAAATGTTTATTTTATTCTAAATTTCGGCTGGTTTGTATAGATCAGACTCTTATCCCTCGGCTGGATCGTGTCGAGACTTTGAAGCGTCACTGAAACTCACATCTGACCTTCGACCCGTTGGGCCCCATTGAAGACACTATATGGAGAATCATCCTGGAGTGTGTTCCTCAAAAACCTTCATTTCTTTCCCACTGAAGAAAGAAACACATGAACATCTTGATGACGTGCGGGAAAGTAAATTATCAGGAGATTTTAATTGGTCAAAGACACAGATTATAGCCAGAACATGAGCTCGGACCCACGACCTCTGACCCTGTTGTTCCCCACAGGCCATGGTCACGCACACACTCATATCAGTCCATTCACATTGCTAAACGTTTTGATATCAGGGTTCTTACGTGTTGTAAATACATTTCTTATTTTGCCAAATAAAACAATTTATTCTATGTTCCCTTTTTTCATTTATCTGACGTTTTTATCCAAAGCGACTTCCAATTGCTATATAGGTCAGAGGTCGCACGCCTCTGGGTCAACTAGGGGTTAAGTGTCTTGTTTAGGGACACATTGGTGTCTCACAGTGGATTCGAACCCGGGTCTCTCACACCAAAGGCATGTGTCGTATCCACTGCGCCATCAACACCTATCAATTTGAAGCGTTTAAAGCGTTTAAAAACATCGGTACACAGTCAATCGTTCTCTGAGATTTGTTTTCATGATAATCGAATGTAAAGAGTTTTATCTCTAAAAACTTTTTAGCGTATAATGCTAGTAATGGGGGCATTGACTAAGTAAAAGAAGCCGCTAGTTTATACCACTAATAAGGCTCAAAATAGCCCCACACTAACACAGTAACATAATGAGGCTCCATACATGCAAAACGAAGCATTGAGAACTGTGTAAGTGTACAGACCGTTTAATAAGAAGATACTTTATAAAGACGGTTCACTTCATGTATACAGGCAGGAGCCATCTTAGGAAATAGTTAAATAGTCAATAAGTCGATCCCCGAACGCCGTTCATACAGTTCAGAAGTTTGTTGAACTTCATAGAGTTCAGATCACTCAGCACGACGTTCGTGGTTTGACTTATCGAGACTATTTTCTAAGATGGCTCCTGCCTGTATACATGAAGTGAACTGTCTTCATAAAGTATCTTCTTATTAAACGCTCTGTACACTTACACAGTTCTCAATGCTTCGTTTTGCATTTATGGACCCTCATTATGTTACGTAATACGTAATTACGTTCAAAAGGTCACGGGCGACGTAGCCGGAAGTACAGAGTCAGTGTTTACAAGTTGAACGCATAGGTTGAACGTGAAAACTAACTCAAACACCGTTTACAAAAAAAGGAATTAAAAGGAAAAACAACGATGTCGGACTATTTTGATTCTGTACTTCCGGCTACGTCGCCCGTGACCTTTTGAACGTAATTACGTATTACGTAACATAATGAGGGTCCATAAATGCAAAACGAAGCATTGAGAACTGTGTAAGTGTACAGAGCGTTTAATAAGAAGATACTTTATGAAGACAGTTCACTTCATGTATACAGGCAGGAGCCATCTTAGAAAATAGTCTCGATAAGTCAAACCACGAACGTCGTGCTGAGTGATCTGAACTCTATGAAGTTCAACAAACTTCTGAACTGTATGAACGGCGTTCGGGGATCGACTTATTGACTATTTAACTATTTCCTAAGATGGCTCCTGCCTGTATACATGAAGTGAACCGTCTTTATAAAGTATCTTCTTATTAAACGGTCTGTACACTTACACAGTTCTCAATGCTTCGTTTTGCATGTATGGAGCCTCATTATGTTACTGTGTTAGTGTGGGGCTATTTTGAGCCTTATTAGTGGTATAAACTAGCGGCTTCTTTTACTTAGTCAATGCCCCCATTACTAGCATTATACGCTAAAAAGTTTTTAGAGATAAAACTCTTTACATTCGATTATCATGAAAACAAATCTCAGAGAACGATTGACTGTGTACCGATGTTTTTAAACGCTTTAAACGCTTCAAATTGATAGGTGTTGATGGCGCAGTGGATACGACACATGCCTTTGGTGTGAGAGACCCGGGTTCGAATCCACTGTGAGACACCAATGTGTCCCTAAACAAGACACTTAACCCCTAGTTGACCCAGAGGCGTGCGACCTCTGACCTATATAGCAATTGGAAGTCGCTTTGGATAAAAACGTCAGATAAATGAAAAAAGGGAACATAGAATAAATTGTTTTATTTGGCAAAATAAGAAATGTATTTACAACACGTAAGAACCCTGATATCAAAACGTTTAGCAATGTGAATGGACTGATATGAGTGTGTGCGTGACCATGGCCTGTGGGGAACAACAGGGTCAGAGGTCGTGGGTCCGAGCTCATGTTCTGGCTATAATCTGTGTCTTTGACCAATTAAAATCTCCTGATAATTTACTTTCCCGCACGTCATCAAGATGTTCATGTGTTTCTTTCTTCAGTGGGAAAGAAATGAAGGTTTTTGAGGAACACACTCCAGGATGATTCTCCATATAGTGTCTTCAATGGGGCCCAACGGGTCGAAGGTCAGATGTGAGTTTCAGTGACGCTTCAAAGTCTCGACACGATCATTAGTGGTTATAAAGTATATAAATGTTTATTTTATTCTAAATTTCGGCTGGTTTGTATAGATCAGACTCTTATCCCTCGGCTGGATCGTGTCGAGACTTTGAAGCGTCACTGAAACTCACATCTGACCTTCGACCCGTTGGACCCCATTGAAGACACTATATGGAGAAACATCCTGGAGTGTGTTCCTCAAAAACCTTCATTTCTTTTCCACTGAAGAAAGAAACACATGAACATCTTGATGACGTGGAGGAATAAACTATGAGGAGACGAGTCTCTCAGAAGCGCACTCGTACCCTCCAGGAGTACGTGGTCAGCACCTTGTTCTTCTTCCTCACGACGCAGGTGTAGGTGCCCTCGTTGATGGCGTTCGCCACGATTGTGATGTGGTCATCTTTCAGGGAAATGTATCCGGGATGAGAGAACTCTAGAAGCTCGCCGTCTTTATACCAGCTGTGGTGTGGAGAACGCTTCAGGTTAGGACGTTAGTAACAAACACTAACCTTAAATATGCTTCAATTCTTGCTGAAAAACATCCAATTTCAAACTACAAATTTAAAGGATTCATGTTCCCTTTGACATAATCTCTCAAAACACAGAGGACCAGGAGTGAAAAACTGTGATAATGGTCTCATTCACTAATAATGGCATATATTTAAACCAGGGGTTGGCAAGTCAGGCCCTGGAGATCCATTTTCCTACAGAGTTGATCTCCAACCTTAAACAAACACCCCTGAATGGGCTAATCAAGGTCCTCAGCCAAGGGTTTGCCCCAGGACTGGACAGCGGACCTATCGAGGGCCAGAGTTGCCCAGCTATTCACAAAACATTTCCTCTAGGTGCATGCACACATTCATTTAAAGGGTTAGTTCACTCAAAAATGAAAATTAAGTCATTAATTACTCACCCCCATGCTGTACCAACCCCGTAAGACCTTCGTTCATCTTCGGAACACAAATAAAGATATTTTTGATTGAATCTGAGAGCTGGATCACTCTTCCATAGACAGCCTGAGGGACTGGCTCTTGACGGCCCAGAAAGTCATTAAAAGAAAAGGTTTAAATATTCCATGTGCCTACAGCGGCTCAACTATAACTTTATCAAGCGACGAGACTACTTTTTGTGCGAAAAAAAAAACGTAAATAACGACTTTATTCGACTTTCCAGAGAGAACTGAGACGAGACCGTTCTTCTTCGACTACTTTTTGTTAACGGCTGCTCACCGCTTAGGAGTTTTACCGCCCCCTACCGTATAAGATGACGTACTGATATAGCCGGAGGCGCAAAACGTTCTGTTTACAAGCAGTACGTCATCTTATACGGTAGGGGGCGGTAAAACTCCTAAGCGGTGAGCAGCCGTTAACAAAAAGTAGTCGAAGAAGAACGGTCTCGTCTCAGTTCTCGCGCATGCGCCCATAAGGAAGTAATGGAAGTCGAATAAAGTCGTTATTTACGTTTTTTTTTTCGCACAAAAAGTAGTCTCGTCGCTTGATAAAGTTATAGTTGAGCCGCTGTAGGCACATGGAATATTTAAACCTTTTCTTTTAATGACTTTCTGGGCCGTCAAGAGCCAGTCCCTCAGGCTGTCTATGGAAGAGTGATCCAGCTCTCAGATTCAATCAAAAATATCTTTATTTGTGTTCCGAAGATGAACGAAGGTCTTACGGGGTTGGAACAGCATGGGGTGAGTAATAATGACTTAATTTTTCATTTTTGGGTGAACTAACCTTTAACATAGGATTCAGTTAGGATGTTCCTACAATACAGTCCCAGAACTTAATCCAATTGAGAACCCATGATGTCCATGACACTGACTTGAGTCTCAGTAGGAAAATAATACAGGGGAAACAGCTTTGAAAGACCCACAGTGTCCACACAGACTAAAAATTGCATCTACAGATCCAAATACTGATATCACTGCAAACAGATATTTAGCAAAGTCCTAAATAATGAAGAAATATTTTCTGTGCAGTGTCAAAAAACACCAAATGAAATCCTCTGCTTCAATGTCGTAGAACAGACAGTGCTTCTCAAACCGGTCCTGGAGACTTTGGATGTGGACCTCATCAAACACACCTGATTAAACTCATTAGCTCATTAGTAGAGCCGGCAAGACTGATGGGCGAGACATCCAAAATGTGCTCCCGGGGACAGGTCTGAGAAGGACTATTGTAGACCGATAAAGCACAAAAACCACCAAGGGGCAAGTGCTTTTATAGGCGGTGTTTAGAAACAGCAAGAATATGGAAACCAGTCAGAGTTCATATAACAATCTGTGTGTGGAAAAACAAGAACTCACTGGATTTTGCCTTTCCTGGCTGCGATCTTCTTACCACAGCGGAAGGTGAGCTTCTTTCCCTCCACAACAAGCTTGTGTTTCGTCCGCGGGGGGGTTGCAGTTGGCGGGGCGGTGGGGAAATGGGAATTCTGTTTAAAAGTTCAAATGAAATCAGTACTTATTATTCATCCAGAACCTCAATGAAATATAGTTGCTAGCAGTGGAATTGTTCGCTTGTACACTCCCAGTGTGACCTCGCTCCCTCTCTGTTGACTCCAAACATCTATTCATTAATCTCCTACATTTTAGGATTGGGAGTGGTGCTGAAGTGATGCTGAGAGTTTTAAGAAGGTTGGGGAATCAGAAAATGTGTCTCCATGCATCTAATACCAAAGCCCGCTTCACATTTGAATTTGCATATTCTGGCAGGCTTAAGTAGTCCACAAAATGCCCATTTATGATCTCAAGAGCATACGTTAAGCCTATCCATCCGTGCTCGCGGTTAATGGAATATACTTTAAAAAGGCATCATAATCTCAAGGCCTTCATCAGTTCAGATGTAACTATAAGGACTGCACTTGCCAATCGTCTTCAAACATCTTCCACAAAGCTTTCTCTGATCGTAATCAACGGATTGATTGGTCCTCTAGATCTGATTTTGGGGTGGTACTCGGTACAGGAATCAGGCGCTGTTCATGCCACATTTTGATTGGTTGACTCCACGCAGCATTTTATTTCAACCACCGTCTTTTGCGGTGCATGAAGGAACAGTGGAGTTTAAAGTACGACGAGGTTCAGGCTTTATTAAGCTTAAATTCAGAGGATGAAATCTGTAAAGTAGCGCGCGGTCCTGCATCACTGGATTAACTAGCCTAATCTTCACGGCTCTGAAGACCGCGGTGGAAACGCAGACAGCAACAGGTCTGGGGGATAAAGTTCCTGGCAAATAGTTCGGTAATTTCGGTGGAAGGTGTTGTCTGGGATAGCTCCAGGAACGTCAGGAACTGTTCTTATGGAAGGGGCTCCTGGGTAAATGGACCCTCTCCGCCAGTATGCTCTTA